GGCAACTAATTGTAAGCAGAGAGTACAAAGACCCATTTACCCGGTTGTTTCCTTCTTTTACTCTACTATTCTGAAATTACAAGTATCTACATTACAGCAAAGATGCATATGATTAAGTAGAATTTCAGTGAGAAATTTCCAGATTTTGATAACTATATTGCAGACTTTTTGAGACAATGAAGTTTGTTTTCTTGGAGAAGGGTAGCTATGAAAATATACAAAAGCCTTTTTATTCCTACGCACATGTACAGAGATTCTCAGTGAAGTACAAGAATGCAATTCTTTTTCCTTCACCCTGCTTGTAAGACACAAATTTGTTGTACTTCATGAAGTGCTTTAAAGCAACATATGCCACATGCTGATGCTTTCCCAAACTCCTGAGTCTACAGCAAGTGCTTTCCTTCTTTGTTTTGTTCATTCTTTTTTAAATAAAACTTTTGCAACTTGCATCTATATGTACTTTTTCGTCCCCTTTTATTTGTTTTTTGATAATTTCCATCTGTTTACTTGCTGAAAAGTAAAAGAGGATCTTGGTTCCTTGACTTTCTGGAGAGAATTTCCCAGATGGCTTTAATTCCTTCTGCACTTCAGATTACTTGGTCCAGTTCATCCTCCCCTCCTCTTTGTTTCCTTCTTCCCCTGGGCCCAGCAACCCATCAGCAGAAGTCTTTTTGTGTGTGTGTGTGTGCGCGCGTGTGTTTTTGTGTTCCAATCTGAGCCAAATTATTGTGAATTACTCTGTCTGGCCTAGGCTATTATTAGACTAGCCAGCAACTGTAGCTCTTTTGATTGTTTCAACAGCTGGTTTTGTTGCTTTACTAAAGATGCAAAAGCACAGCTCTCTCCTCCCCCTAGAAACTGCTTACCCAGATAAAGGGCTGTGTCAGGATCTGTTCCAAGACTGCTAAGGTAGATCTGCCATTGCTGCTCAGGAGCATTCTGTCAGAGCCCCATCTATCTCCCACAGACTTGTTAAAGCCTCCTTTCTTCCTAGGTACCTCCATTATTTACACACCTTTATCAGGTATCAACCCAGTGATGTGTTGTTGCATTTGGCAAAAAACCCTAAAGCTGTTTATCACTTGAAAACACCAACATAAACTTGAAGTGAGGCACAGCTCACAGACAGAGCATGAATGAATGCATCTGGCAAGCACTCACTAGGAAAGAATTACTTGAAAGAAATGGAAGCATTTAAAATCTAAAAGACACCTCTAAGCTTGAATGCTTGTGGTGTTCCTCAGGGCTCCGTATTGGGATCGGTGCTATTTAACATCGGCGACATGGACAGTGGCACTGAGTGCACCCTGAGCAGTTTGCTGGTGACACTAGGCTGTGTGGTGCAGTCAACAGGCTGGAGGGACGGGATGCCATCCAGAGGGATCTGGACAGGCTTGAGACATGGGGCTGTGCAAACCTCATGAAGTTCAACAAGGCCAAGTGCAAGGTCCTGCAATCCCAAGCAAAAGCATGGGATGGGCAGAGAATGGATCAAGACTGCTCTTTGGGAGAAGGACTTCAGGATGTTGGTGGATGAGAAACTTGATGTCTCATCAGTGTGTGCTGGCAGCCCAGAAAGCCAGCTCTATCCTGGGCTGCACCAAAAGCAGCGTGGCCAGCAGGTCAAGGGAGGTGATTCTCCCTCTCTACTCCACTCTGGTGAGATCCCACCTGGAGTACTGCATCCAGCTCTGGGGTCCTCAGCACCAGAGAAAGATACAGACCTCTTAGAGCAGGTTCAGAGGAAGGCCACAAGGATGACCCAAAGCCTGAAACACCTCTCCTATGAAGACAGGCGGACAGAGCTGAAGTTGTTCAGCATGATGAAGAGAAGGCTCTGGGGAGACCTCACTGCAGCCTTCTAGTACTTCATGGAGGCTTACCAAAGGGAAGGAGAGAGACTTTTTACATGGGCAGATAGTGACAGGACAAGGGACAATGGTTTTAGGCTGAAAGAGGGTAGGTTTATATTAGATATTAAGAAGAAATTATTTAATGTGAGAGTGGTGGGGCACTGGAACAAGTTATCCAGGGAGGCTGTGAATTCCCCATCCCTGGAAACTTTAAAGGCCAGCCTGGATGGAGCTCTGAGTAGCTTAGTCTGGGGGAAGGTGTCCCTGCCCTTGGCAGATGGGTTGTTACTGGATGATTTTTAAGGTCTGTTCCAACCCAAACTGTTTTATGGTTCTATGACCGGTACACTGGCAGTGTGAGCATACCTACACATAACATACTTTGAAGAATTCTATCTACTGGTAAGCAACCTCCTTTTGGAGGGATTGAGCATTATTCTTTTTTTTTTTTCCAACAAAAATTTCAGAAATATGATTCAAGTATTTCATTGAATGCTGTGAAATTTTCTTGTTTCAGGTAGTACTGATTGGAATTAGTCTCCAGTACTCTTTACAGTAATATGTTGGTTATTGCTACCTGAAATTTGAATCCACATATGAATTGTGTCTTAGTTTGATCTCTTCCTTTCTTGTGAATCCATCTTCAAACAGTTACAGGCATTCCTTGAATGGCTCCTCTAGGCCTAAAACTCAGTCACTGTCCCAAGTGCATTTCCTGCTGGCAGAGCTCAGTATGGCCAAATGGTTGCTTCAGGGACATGACCACTTTCTATATAATTTAGTTATTACACTTTCATTTTTAAGTTGGACTTTCCCTGGGAACGCTAAGGAGCTCTTGATGAATGTCAGCATTAAATACTCATGATCCTTCTATACTGTATTATTTGATATTTTGGGGAATGTTTTCTTAATCATAGCTGGAACTACTCCATTCAGCATGGTTTTCTTAGGCCTAAGATCTGTCCAAATGTATTTTTCAGTTTTATATGCTTAGGAGCCTCTGTGTTAATTTCATCAACAGCAGCAAAAGAAGGTTTAATCCAATTTTCTGGCTCTGAATTTGGGCTATGTTCTATGGTATATTTCTGATTTTTCTTTCCTTGGTAATTTTACATGATACCAAGCTTCCCCCCACCAACATTAGTGAAACATAGTATAAAACAGAGATACTCAGGAAGTGGAAAATGGCTGGTCCTTGTCATTCTTTGTGGTTAATGGAGGTTAAGAGCTGAACACAGGTGCTGCATTTTTGCTCCATGGTGGAAAACCAGAATACAAACAACACATACTGTTTGTTTTACATGGGAGAGTCTCTTGTCTCTCATGCATGCACATACCAGCAGCTTCCCTCCATTTTGCTGGTCTTCCTCATATTTTCTGCATTAGAACTTCATTTTCTGTTGGTTTTGATGCAGGTGAGGCTTTGTGGCACAGCCATTTATCATACGTGTGACAGCAGTGCTCCCCTGAAGAACTTTGTATCCCCTCTAGATCATGTACAAGGCATGCTGATTCTGCACTGAAATTTTTAAGGCGAGTTCCTTAGACTACCATGCAATCTATCCATGCAGAGGTCATCCAAAGTGTGAGGCTTTTGAAAACACATAGTGCAAGGCTTCATTTGTCTGTTATACAGTACAGCTGTACATCCAGTTTTATGCCTGGCCCTACATCCTTTTGTAGGATAAAGCTTTATGTCCTTCAAAGTGTAACTACTATACCACTTGAACACTAAGAGCTCCAGTGGAAAAAAGCCTCTGTTAAGGAACAATGATTGTAAAGTCAAGAACTGAATCACTAAGAAACGCACGGACAATCATTTGTATTCACATATTATGAAATATTTTTCAGATTTGTGATGACATATCTTTTTTTAACCTGTATGATCTGCTTTATTCACTGTGCAGCAGTAGATGGTGCTTAGTGTGTCAGCACAGATACTGCTCAACACGAAGATTACTCACTGTTTTGTTGTACTTTCCTGCTCTAATTTGTGGTCATATAATTTATTGATTTACTGTCCCTTGTTCATTTGCTCTGAAGATGAATTTAACTTCAAGTTTTTTAGTACTACCTAAAGTGGAGTAACATGTAAAAACATTTATGATTTGGTTTTACAATTACCACATGAAGAAGCAATATAATTTCCATTTTAGATAGGAGCAACTGAGGCCCAGGAAAAAAAAAAAAAGAAGAAAAAAAGAATTAGAGCTAAAACTACACAAGTGTCTGACTTGAAATGTGGCCATATTTTTCATATCACTTCAGCGCTCTAAGTGTGTACCTCGCCGGTTTCAAGTAGGTCCTAAGATGACCTCTCCTTAAGTAGTTCAAACCACCGTCAAGAACCTCAGGCCAAGACACACATCCTGCTGGCGGGGAGCCACAGCCGCCGTCGGTCGGACTCCCGCCTGCCCCCAGCCCTCGGCGGGTACTGGGGCAGCACTGCCGCGCCCGCAATCCCCGCTGCTCCCGGGGCTCCCGGCCGCCACCAGGAACTTCTCACCTCACAGAACCACAGAATTGTTAGGGTTGGAAGGGATCTCTGGAGATCACCGAGTCCAACCCTCTGCCAAAGTAGGGTCACCCACAGCAGGTGACAAGGGAATGCATCCACGTGGGTTGTGAATGTCTCCAGAGAGGGAGGCTCCACGACCACCCTGGGCAGCCTGTTCCAGTGCCCTGCTACCCTCAACATAAAAGCAGCTCTTCCTCATGTTGAGGTGCAACTTCTTGTGTTTTAGTTTATGGCCACTGCTCCTCGCCCTGTCGCTGGGCACCACCGTAGTCTGGTGCCATGCTCTTCGCACCTCCTTGCCCTCGCCGCAAGCCCCTTCTTCCCCTCAGCAGGAGGCCGCCCGGGCTCACCCCGCCCTGCTCGGTGCCGGCAGTGGCAAACCCGACCCGGCCCGACCCGGCCCGTCCCCACGAGGTGCCCGCGGCCGCGGAGCTGCTGCCCGGCGGCGGGCGCCAGGTACCTCCCCCCGCCGCCGCCTCCTCCGCCCCCTTTTGTGGCGGTGCCAGGCGGCCGCCGGGTTTCCTGCTGACGCCGGAGAGCCGCGGATGGGCAGGAAAGGCCGCCTCTGCTCCCGCCTCGCCCCGCTCGCCCGGCCGGCAGAGGCGCGGCGCGGTGTCCGGGAGCAGCGCGGCGGAGAGGGCGCAGGTGCGGGGCGGGCCCGGGGGCCGGGCGGCCGCGCCGGGGAGAGGGCATCGGTCATGGCAGCCCCCGCTTCCTAAATGCTGCCGGCCGCCCCTCTGCCGCCGATGGCCGAAGCCTGGAGGCTGGAGGAGGACGAGGAGGAGCTGCGGGAGCTCGGCAGGAGGCACCGGAGGGTCGCGCTGAGCTCGGCGGCAGGTGAGAGGCTGGGGCGAGGCGGGCCGTGGCGTCGCTTGCTTTGGGCTGGCCCTGGCCCGTTCACCGGGTCTGGATTCCTTTCGAGGGCTGGGCGGCGTTGGCGCTGCCGCCCCGAGGTGTGCCGGCCCCGGCGGCCTCGCCCAAGGGCAGCTCGGTTCAGCTCAGGTGCATCCGAGCCCAAGCGTGTGCCCGCGGGCCGTCCTCCCGAGGCGCAGCCCCAGAGCTGTTCCTGCTCCGAGCTCATCACAGAGTCAGAGGATGATCTGAGTTGGAAGGGGGGCCTTGGAAGATGATCTAGTTCCAACCTCTCTGCCATGAGCAAGGACACCTTCAAACTAGACCAGGTTGCTCAGAGCCCAATCCAGCCTGGCCTTGAGCACCTCCAGGGATGGGGCATCTACAGCTTCTGTGGGCAACCTGTTCAGTGTCTCGCCACGCTGATGCTAACCTGGGCATGTACTGGCCACCACAGACATGTCCAGGTGCATAGGCTGCCCTATCAGGAAGTTAAATGCCGATTTTCCTTCAAAGTACCAAGGTCGAGGAAGCTCTAGATATCAACGTTGTGTAGCCATTTCTATGTAGGTGTGGGCAGCAGGCCCTGGCAGACAGAAGGCAAGGATCGGTGCATACAAGAAGGCATGGAGCTTGGGAGTGAGCAGATTGATATGTATTTATAGAGAGACCCGGAGGTCACAGCAAGTTTTTATTTGAAATGGTGAACTCCAGTGGACCCTGGCAGCAATTGAAAGTATTTAATTCGGACTTCATTGTTAATTGAGGGGCAATGCACATGTCACTTTTCTGTAGTCATTGAGGTGAGAACGCAGCATTTTTTTTTTTGTCAGTGTAAACTCCCCTCCAGAGGGGAGACACAGCAACTTGTGGGATCACAGCGGAAAACTTGGAACAAGCAGGCCCTGTGGCTTCCAGTGACCCAAGTTATGCCACTGCCTATCTGGGCAGGTGCAGGATTAGCAGGACCCTGTTGAAACCATTGTAGTTTGGAATGTCTGCAGGGTTTCGCCTTGTCTCGGGCAGAGTGCAAAAAACCCCAGTGTTGGTTCCTGTATGGTTTTCACAATAGTTCATGCTGCTGGTTATGGTACCTGTTTTCTAAAGGTGTTTCTTTTGGAGGTTTTTGTTAGAGTTGGTTCTACAGTTTATATATGTATATAACCTTTGCCGCCTTCTTGTGGAACAAAGCTTGTTCCCGGAGTTTGTCTTTGGCGCAATGCAATAATCAGTAATAAAAGGCTCGTGCTCATTTTTCAGTTTTTATTAGTGTTTTGTCCTGACAGCCACCCTTTGAAATGGGCCCGGCGCTCTGTGTTTACCTTACTAGTGTAAAGTATGTGTGAATGAATAGCATTCTGCTTTGCTGTCTCGCCTTCTTTCCATCTGTTCACAAGACTACACAGTGGAAAAACAGCACAAGGACTCCTAGCAGAGTATTTTGAAGGCATCCGTGAAGAATATCATCCAAGGCAGATGAGTTTGGTATTCTTCCCTTACTTGACCTTTAGTTACAAACCTATGGAAAATAAGTGGTGTGTTGGTTTTTTTTTTTTTGCTTGTAATGTGTGGTTACACTGCCAGCACGGTAATATAAATAGGTGTTAAATAAGCCTGCTAGATATTTTTTGTAGGGTTTAAGCAGTGTAGTTGCACCTTAGCAGATTGCCAATTTAAGCAGTCGAGTCTGTTAAACTAATTGTGAATGCAAGCAACTTAAAATTTCTGGTATGTTCAGCTTATGCATGAAAGTGTGTAAGGGCGGTTGATCATCTTTGCCCTGCATGTGCAAGGCACGTATGCAAAGTGGCACTCGAAAGGTGAAAGTTCACAAATGCTTCTGACCTACTAAACGCTCAGGCATGTAATTAGCCCTGTTTTATTGGAGAACCAGAGCACAGGAGGCTCTGGAACGAAGAGGTAGTATTTTCCCTTGAAGCTAGTCGCGGTTGTAGTGTGCCTCATGTTGTAGAATGAAGCCAGCTAAACTAATCTAACAGCTTGCTGCTGCTCCAGAGGTGTGATCTGCCTTATGGATGTGCGTTTCTGCTCTCTCCTGTGTGTCAGCTCTGCTACTTGTCCAGCCTGCTGGTGAGTGAAGTTGTGGCTTGGTGGCAGCCTGGGCTGATCTACTGGGTGGCTGCTGAGGCCTCTCTTGGAGCCCTTGTGCTTGCTAGAACCTGCACCAACCTGTTCTGGTGCGTTGGCCAAGCAGTGGGATATTTTTCTAGATCTCTTCAGTGGATGGGAGCCTGCTGATTCAGCTCCCTGGAATGGTTTTGCATAGGTTGGGATGAATGTTTAAGCTGGCACGAGGGAAAGAGTAGGAATATGCAGCTGGAGGGAGGTAAGAGGCTATGCCAGCCAGAAGTTTGTTTGGCTTAGGTTGCTGTGAAAGTGCAGCCTGAGAGCTGTTAGAGACTTACTCTGAGTTTGTTATTTGGTTCACTGGGGGGTTGATGTGTTTGGGTTTTTTGCTGGTTTGGGTTGGGGGCCTTTTTGGTGGTTTAATGAGCTGAAGATGCTTGCTTAAGCCCTAGACAAGTGCCAGAGCTGATGTTAAAGCAGGGATTGAAAACCTAGGGAGAGGTGAGCAGATGATATGGGCAGAATCAATATTATCCATGGGTTAGTTGTAGATAGCCCAGGTGACGTGTCTGACTGCCTGTTTTTACCACACTGCATGTCATGATTCCATGTCATGCAATTATTTTCTCTGAATTCAAGAAAGCTTTTTATTTAGCATGTTCTGGAAAACCTGTGAGAAGATATTAAGTAGAGCAATTTGAGATTCTTCTAATGAAATGTGTTTTTTGAGAAAGTGCTGATTGAATGATTTTTTTTTTTTTAATATGTATAGGTTTTTTAAGTGATAGGGAGGAGAACTGTGATACATTCTTTAAAAATTAAGAAGAATAAAAGTAGCTTCACAGGTTCATTAAAACTGAATCATATGGTCACCTGCTGTGGGAAAGGAAGCCAGGCTTGTTGGAAACCTTTAGAGTTTTTTACTGTAATTAAATAAGTAAAATAGTCGGATCAGTTTCTACCTCCCTTGTGGCATATTTCTGTCACATACATTATTGTTCTGGAAAGTAATTGAGACCACAGGATGTTTACTGGATTTTTTTGTTTAGAATGTTAGTATTTTTATTTAGTTGTTTGTTAATAAAATGGAAACAAAAAGTTCCAAATAAACCAGAACAACAACAGCAAACCCCACTAAAATCCTATTTTTCCATAGACTTACAGGCTCTCTCTAGGCTAACTTAAAGCCTTAATCTGGGCTTTCCTATTTTGAGTAGCTTTTTATTCTGTGACTACGGCCTAAAATAAGCAGACTTGCAGGAATGTTTATAGTGAACATAGTAAATTTTAGTTATGAACTGCATTTGTTAATTATGTGTCCTTGCCACTGCATTAGGGCTGAGTACTCCAGTATTCTGAAGTTATCTAAAGTGCACAAGACATTTTTAACACATTCAGTATCTGCATTATTTCACTTTGAATTCTGGTCAGTGTTCCCTGAAAAAGTATAGCTCATTATGGATGTGGCAGGTGTTTCTTTACTTAAAAATAAAATGAGATGCAAAATATAGAAACCAATAATCAAATTTATTTGAGTTGATAATGAAGACCTATTGTGATTTGTACTTTAATGTGTGGTTAAAGTACATGTGGTCAATAGTACAAGGAAAGGCTTTGATTTGATTTAATATTGCTCTGTTTTACTTATCACAAATGCTTGTCCGTGGTTTGTTCCAACACAAATTTTGCATATGAGTTTTGCTATGCTGATTAAAGCATCTCTGGGTTGTGTTTTGTTGTAGGGTTTTTTTTCCCTCTTCTTCTATTTCCATTTCTCCATAATATGGCAGATGTTTCCTGGAACCTTTTCAACTCTAGTGGGCAATTTTAGCTTATGAGTGAAATCATCTATTCTTGGTTCATTGATTGACTGAGTGCTTTGGGTTTGGGTTTGTTTGGTTTTTTTTGCCAAAACAAGATCTGGTTCAGAGTTGGATCAATTCTTTCCGCTCCCTCAACTCCCACATCAAACTGGTGCTGACTTGTTTTGAAGCTGAGAACAATGAGCTGTGTCCAATATAACAAATTAGGGTTGAATATTTCACTGCTTAACATGCTGAGAGGTTATGGGGGTACATTTTTATGATGTGTCTGGTGAAATTCAGTGAACATTAATTTGCAGGCATCATGGATTTTTAACTGATAAATAAAGAATTTAGTATAAGAATGCTCAGCAGTTGTTTTCATGTTAATGCAAAAATACATGTTTGACCTTAAGAAGTAAAGAGTAAGATGGTCTGAAATTCTTCACAAAATTCTTAAGTCTGAGACTGTTTCAGTGATGATGTCCTTTAGGATTCACTGGATCATAAAAAGAACAGCTCAACCTTAGTCCTTCCCAAGGGGCACCAGTGACCCTGGAGCAGAGAGAAAACATGATTAGGAAAAGGGTGATTCTAAGAGTTCGTTGCTTAACTAAATCGTATATTTCAGAATTGGAAAGATCTGCATCTTGCAGAACAGATGTCAGCATTGTTCAGCTGGAAACTTCTTTGCATGTCTTGTGTCCTTCAGTGCTGATCTGAAAATTATTCTGCTTACCCACACTGAGTGTAACCATTTATCCTCTTTTATTCAGAGAAGAAAAAAAAATCTCGATAGAGCAGATCACCTGTGTTAAATAAATTCATGTAGTCTTATCTGTGATCTGCTTCTCTGCCACGTGTATGCGAGAAGCCCTTAAAGAAAAGGCTGACAGGAGCATGGCGGAGGGGAGGGGGCATGTGCCACTATTCATTTTTTTAATTTATTTAGTGAATCAGTTGGTTCACAAGCAGTAGAGTTGATTGCCAGCTGAGCATCACTTCCCTCCTCCTCCTGGGATTCAGTCTGTTTTGTTTTGGTAGTCCCAATGCAAACTCAAAGACTTCAGCTTTAATAACTGCTTGAGGTACCAC